ATAAAGTGTTAGTTTGGAAAGATGAAAAAGTTCTGGAGATAGGCAGTTGTAATGATAGCATATCAATGTGAATGTACTTAATGCCACTATACAGCATATATATTATACAACTAAAAATTTTATGTCTATTTTATGTTGTATCTATTTTATCACAATAAAAAAGTCAGTATCTTTTACAAAGTTTTGTTCATATTTTTTAATTAAGCAAAAATTTACATGGATTCCTTTTCTTGCTTAAATTTTTTTATTTTTATTTTAGATTCAAGGGTAAGTGTGCAAATTTGTTATACAGATAAACTCATGTGACAGGGATTTATTGTACAGATTATTTTGTCACCCATGTACTAAGCATAGTACCCAATAGCTACTTTTTCTGTTCCTCTCCTTCCTCCCACCCTCCACTCTCAAATAGGCCCCAGTGTCTGTTGTTCACCGCTTTGTGTCCATGTGTTCTCATCATTTAGCTCCCACATATAAGGGAAAACACGCAGTATTTGGTTTTCTGTTCATGTGTTAGTTTAATCCAACTCAATCCGTGTTCCTGCAAAGAACACAATCTTGTTCTTTTCTTGCGGCTGCGTAGTATTCCATCGTGTATATGTACCACATTTTCTTTATTCAGTCTACCATTGGTGGGCATTTAGGATGATTCCATGTCTTTGCTATTGTGAATAGTGCTGCAATGAGCATATGCATGCATGTATCTTTATGATAGAACAGTTTCTGTTCCTTTGGTAATGGAATCCTAGTAATGGGATTGCTAGATCAAGTGGTAGTTGTATTTTTAGCTCCTTGAGGAATTTCCACACTGCTTTCCACAATGGTTGAATTTTATACTCCCACCAACAGTGTATAAGCATTCCCTTTTCTCTGCAACCTCACCAGCATCTGTTATTTTTTGACTTTTTAATAGTAGCCATTCTGACTGGTATAAGATAGTATCTCATTGTGGTTCTGATTTGCATTTCTCTAATGATCAGTGATGTTGAATTTCTTTTTATATGCTTGTTGGCCATATGTATGTCTTCTTTTGAAAAGTGTCAGGTCATGTCCTTTTCTATTTTAACTCTGGCAACATTAATATGCCAGATTAAGGATTTTTTTAAAAGATTTTATTATGTAATTTAATTTTAAATCTTTTTTTTTATTTTCCTGGTATGTGAAAGTCTAAAAAATATAAAGAACTGGTTTGGACTGGAAATATCCACTATAATATAGAAAAAAATATATTATACTAGATATCAATAAAAATCCAGGTTGTCTTATAAAAAATTACCAGGAATAATTACATATCCAGGATTGTACTACTAAACTTTCTAAAAAGAAGATAATTTTTATTGTAATTAAACTATTATATTTAAAAAGAATTTTTTTAAGATTCTGTTTATGAAAGAAGTACATTGGTATAATATCTAACCCAAAAATATGAAAAAGGAAACCACAGTTTAATCCTATTTATTAATGTTAATTAAGAATACATCATGACCAAATGAGTTGCCTTTCTCAAATGCAAAGATGACTAAATACTAAAAAATAATTTATTCCATTTAGCTATCCAGAGAAAAAACATAAAATTATTTCTGATGATGATAAAAAGACGCTTGAAAAACAATTCAAAAATTCTTAGTTTAAAAAATTTTTTCATAGACTATAAATCAAGTGACATACATGAGGCCAAACACCAACATCATACTATATAGGCAAAAATATTCCTCCTAAAGTCCAAAACAGGAAATAAGAAAATTACACCCATTATTACAACTATCATATAACTCTGGACAGCAGGTGTTAGCCATTACATGATTATTACTCATATAGTCAAAGGAGATGTTCCTATTGAGTGGGTCTATGAAATATGACCACTTATATAACTGAGAGAGGAGGGAGGCTATTAGTCTCACTCAACCAAATGGAATGATTTTACTCTAAACAGAGGGAGTATCAGAAAGCAGATAGAAGGAAAAGAGTTTAGGCACACACAACCAAAGTGTCCTCAAGTTACTTTCACTACTCTAATTCTTCACTGGCTCCCCACCTACCTACAAAACGATTCAAAATATATTTCTAGTCATCCATCTTCACCTTAATTATCCACCAATCACCTTCCACTTCCATACATTGCAATTTAGTTGCTCAGAAATATTTGGGCTGTGACTTGCCCCTTAGAAAAAACCCCTCAAAGTTGACCTTGGACAAAGTTATTTGGATTTCACTATGCCCAGGACCATAAAATTATGTCCTGCAAGCCAAATAACCTACAGCCTATTTTTGTACTGCTTGTGGATTAAGAATGGTTTTTACATTTGTAAATACTTGGAGAAAAAATAAAAAGAAAATTACTATTTTGTGATGCAAAGACTATAGGCAAATTTTAGTGTCCATAAAACAAGTTTAATTGAAACACAGACAGTCATTCATTACATACTATCCATAGGTGTTGCTGTGCTATCATGGCAGAGCCGAGTAATGGTAACAGGGACCTTATGGCTTGCAATACTGAAAATATTTGCTATCTAATACTTTACAGAAAGAGTTTGCCAGCTCCTACTCTAGAGATACACAATCCCCTCATCATGGCTGTGTCCCCAAGATGCAATTCTGTGAATTTCATATGGTTCCTTTCTCATTGCTGAGAATGCCAAAATGTTGGACATTTTTAAGTGCAAAAATAAGTTTATTTAATTTTACTAGCTTTTGCTGAATTATTGATTGTAGACCCATTCTATGATCTTATATCCATATCAACTTCCATATTGCCTTAAACTAATAGATCATTTTCCCAGATCTAGTTTTCCAATAACAATTGTATTACTATTTTAAAATATGAGAGATCTAAGCATATTTAATTTGAGCTTTAGGACCTCAACAAACGTCAACCTCTGATTCATTTCATGTCTGTTTTATGAGCCAGGGCATTCTGTAGTTTATTGGTGGTAGCTTTTTTTCCCTTACGTATTGCTATGATTGCAAACTGGAATATTTTAGGTCAGGTAGAACTCTAAGTTCATTTCTACAAATATGGGACTCTCAGTGTATGATATTGGGTTAAGAGGAAACGATTTTTCCCTTTTAAAGTTAAGGCGACCATTCTCAGTCCTCTTGCTCTTCTCTTGCTGTGACTTCCTTCTTACAGTAAAAGATCAAAGACATTCCTCTGTGAAGGGCAGTAGTGTAGGAGCTGGTGAAGGAGAGACTGTCCAGAACTTCCTGCTCATGCAGTCCAAGTCTCTAGTGCAGAAGCTGCAGTGCTCCTCGAAGATCCTGTAGCTCAAGCACATTCCCTTGCTGCAATATTCCAAGGATACTGGCCTTATATCTTGAGGTTGGTGCCAAATGACCCCCATGGATGATGGAAGTCTGAACCATCCCCAAGTGGGGCATGATGAGCTTTCTTGGGGGACCCATAACAACAAGAAAACCCTTCTGTGGTACCACATCTCTGTTGAGTACAAACTCCCTGGAGATAATGCCGAGGAGTCAGCAATACCATCAGAGGAGGGGTACTATGACTTTACTAGTAGACCAAATGAGAAGTGATACTGCTGTCAACTTCTGTGACAACAAAATGAACTAAAAAAGAAAGGTATCCTTTGTGGTGTCAGTGCTCTAGTAAGCAGAAAATCTGTAAGGCTCCTAAGAACATCCTGGTTGCTGGCAGCCATTTCTTTAAGACTTTATATAGCGTTAAAAGCTAAGAAAGCCCTAACCAAAATAATACTACCCACTTAGATATTGCTGCAGTCAAAATTTTTCAGTCTTTGTGGACTTCTTATATTCTGGTAACCTGGTGCTCACAAGCTAGAATAATGATAGTGACCTATCTTCAAACAAGTGAAATTTCAAACTTGCTGAAATTTTATTAAAGATGCCTAAATTTATTAAAGATTAAATATAAGCATTAAATCAGAAGTTCCAGGGTCTGCAGTTGTGGACTATAATAATAGAAAACCAGGCTGGGCATAATGGCTCATGCCTGTAATCCCAGCACTTTGGGAGGCCAATGTACATGGATCACTTGAGGCCAGGAGTTCAAGATCTGCCTGGCATACATGGCAAAACCCTGTCTCTACTGAAAATACAAAATTAGCCAAGGAGGGTGGCTCATGCCTGTAATCCCAGCTACTCAGGAGGCATGAGAATTGCTTGAATCTGGGAAACAGAAGTTGCAGTGAGCCAGGTTCCTGCCTCTACCCTCTAGCCTGGGTGACAGGCAAGACTGTCTAAAAAACAAACAAACAAACAAACAAACCTCAGTTAATAGAGATGGTCTGTCTTCATCATGGGATCAAAAAATTGCCAATTTGGGGGAAACATTAAATCTTACCAATTTGGCAAGTAATATAAAAATTGAAAATGATGGCTGTAATGTCAACAAGGGCCAAACAGAAAACTACCAAGTGATTGACAATGGTTGGGTCCAGAATGCATCTCCTGAAATGGCTGAAAACAAATCCAAAGATCAAGCAAGTGTTTGCTAGGAATAATATGGGCTCCCAGGGAATTCAAGAAACTGGGAAACACGGAGGAAAAACCAAACTACAAAGAGATTTATTTATAATACATCATCTAATAATGAAACAAATTTGGAAGATTACTCAATGATGCAGCCACCTATTGCCTTTTCAGGGGAAAATATGCTACTCATATTTGAGTAGAAACCTTGGAAGAACCAGATTTGGATGTTGCTCTACTTTCAGGGCTGGATGATGATAAGAATGTATTAGCTGAAGCTGGGTCTAATCAAGATGGAGGTGATATTAGAACTTCACATGATTTTATAATAAGTGTGGTTTGACACCTGGCACTTCAAGTGACTTCAAGTATGAGTTGATACCAGATACTTCAAATGATTTCAAGTATCAATTGATACCAGGTCCTTCAAATGATTTCAAATATGGATTATTGCCAGGATCTTGGCCAAAACAAGAAACTTGGGAAAATGGTGAATCATTCGTGTTAGGTTGTTCTTATGTTGCTATAGAGAAATACCTGAGACTGGGTAATTTATAAAGAAAAGAGATTTAATTGGATCATGGTCCTGCAGGCTTTACAGAAGCATGATGCTTGCATCTGCTTGGCTTCTGGGGAGGCCTCAGGAAGTTTACAGTCATGGCAGCAGGTGAACGGCGAGGAGGCACCTCACATGGCGAGAGAGGAGGCAAGAAAGAGTGTGAGGGCAGGGAGGAGGTGCTATACACTTTTAAACAGTCAGATCTCTTGAGAACTCACTCACTATCATACTCTCATGAGGACAGTATCAAGCCATTTGGGTTCACCCCCATGACCCAAACATCTCGCAGCAGGCCTCATCTCCAACACTGGGGATTACATTTCAGTATGAAATTTGGGCACAACAAATATCCAAACCATATCATCATCTCTAATCATGAATAAGTTAAAATGCCATCATTGTAGCTATGCAGCCAAATGCAACACTAAAAAGGCACTTGCTTATTCATACATGAGTGAGGTCATTTAGCTGTGATTTTTTATACTTGAAGAAAACATGGAAGAAAACATTTCTTGGTGCATAAGAAGGATAAAAATGCAAATATATGGTATGTAAGAAGATCATGTTAGCAGCCAGTGTTGGAGTAAGACATGGATCTTGACCCTATGGTTTTTGTGTAGGCTGTACAAATAAATCACAGCCAGGAAGGCAAGAAAGTATAGATGAGAGACAGGATACAGAATCCCTCATGATAAAGACAATGAGGAGAATGAAGTAGGAGAAGCTGATGAAAAGCGGGTTGATGATGGAGATCAGAATGACCCATCGCAGTGAGATGAATTAGCAGATGTTTGTATGTCTCTAGATATTTAACTGACACACTATATTCCTCAAGGATACTGCATTTGTACAAAATACAAATTGACAGTTTGGATTGTTGAACTTAAAGGCTTGCAAAATGTGGTACATGCTAGATGGTAGTTATGTTGCTAGAGAACTGTATGATCAAAGCCTTATAGCAAAAAAATGTTTTAATATTTGCAAAGGACTGTACAACAATCATGTGGTTGAATTACATGGAGTCTTCATATATTTTGTTGGTTATCAAACTAAAGTATTTTTTACTTATGGGATGTACAGTAACTATTTGGGTCTTATGGAAATATAGTACCTGTCCTAATAGAGCTCACATTCATGTGCTACTCTAACATGACTGAAAAAATTCATTATGGAAGTACAGTGACATTGACCCAATCACTCAGTTCATCAAACTCCCCAGGTTAGCCTGTACTAGCAGAGTTGTATTTCTATATTTATTTTTTGCTTTATTAATTTTATTTTTAATACAGATTTTCAGTAAGGGGCATTTTAAACCTCATTGGTTCTATTTTCTTGTCTTTTCCATTTTAATTTGCTTCATAACTTAAACCAAGTCTCTTCTAGTCTTAGTTATTATGTCTCAATTATGTGCCAGTGGGCATGTTTTTAAGAACTGAAGAAGTAATTTATTGCAATGAACTAACTGACTTCCTCCATTCCTTCTTTCCTTCTTGACATGAATTTTACTACCCCACAAGTGAAAAATGATGTTGCAAAGTTACCGTGGTGAAGTTGAAAAATATCACTAAAATGATTATAATTTAGTATTACCTTTCTCCTGCAGCTCTAATCCGATGAATTCTTACTATATGGTGTGTTCTGACATGGTATTTGGTTTTAGGTATCTGTTACTTTGGTGCTATTCTTGTTTGCCTTTTCTTATTTTTGCCAGTGTACTATACCTCAGTCCTATTTAGAAGACCTGATGGAAAGAAAAGTCATGTAAATAATAAGTAAAATGATTTGTTTTACGATTTATCCACCATTTCCAGTTTGGTAGCTTGTTATGCAGTATAAGTGAAATATCAGGTTTTTACCCTATGCTCTTTTTAATCATTAAAATTAATACAAAATGTATATAGCAGTTGGGGGAGACATTCTGCCATGAAAATTGAGAGAAGGTCCTGGTAAAGAGATTTGCTTCTTTATTTTCTAGGAATATCTAGTCTTCTTAGAGTGGACTGGTCATATCTGGAATGAGGTGCTTCCTGAGAAATCTCTGGATCTCCTTCCAAGCATGTTCCTGTGCAGCTGCGTGTGGGATCACTTCTCCTCCCCAGTGTAACTTCAAATCGCGGGTCATTGAGGCACAGCACAGAGGAGAATAGGGAGGTTCTATCAGGTGGCCTGCCCCAGGGTAAGAGAGCAGGGTCCAGTTGTTCTTCCCATGTCTCCTCAGCTGTCCTATGGCTTGTTCAGCATGTGCTTTGCTGTTGATAATCTTATCGCCTTCTCCTACGATGAAGAGGAAATGCCCCTGGGCCTCTTCAACAGGAAATAAATATTGACTGGCCCCAACTTCAGTTGTCTCATAAATGCGATAGAGCTCTAGTAACCCCAAGGCACTGGTGGATATTAATTGTGCAGAATAGGGAAAGGGCTGATAGATCTTACCACGATACACCTGTGGAATGCCAAAAGGAAAGTTGGTTCCATTAATAAGTACTGTGGCTGTGACTTGCTTTAGGTTAACAGCCATAGATAGTCCAATCTGTACTCCTTGACATACAGAGACTACCCCAACGCCTGGGCCAAAGACCTGAAAAAAATCATAGAAATGAGAAATTATTCTATCCTTCATTTAGGAAAACTCCACAATCTCAAACAACCAAAGAACTTCAATGGCTAATGAGAACAAAGCAAGTATTAATCCTACCCACATCCCTAGATATAGATTTCTGGAATATATAATATGTATTCAAAAGAAATACTCCAAAAATATGTCAAGCTTTACTGACTGTATATTATGGATTCAGCATTGTGTTAGGTTCTGAGTTTAAAATGCCCTAAAGAAATACAAATGTCATAAGAAATGGCAGGTGGCCATTGTGAATAATGTGGGTCAGGGTGTAGATGATTGGTAAACTTTCTTGCACCAGTTCTGAGCTCCCTTCAGAGGAAAGGGCACCTTGTAGGAAGAGACTGAGAAAGAAAGTGAGATCATAGGATAGAGTTGAACAGAGGATTCTAGATTTGCTTTGGTTTTTCCAAGTTTTCTCATTGTAGAGAAAAATGTCATAAAGGAGGCTTGGCTCAGCTTCCTCCCTCATTGTCAGTCATCAAATAAGCATCCTTAAATCTTCTACCCTAAGGCAAGCACTGGGAGTCACAGACAGAAAACTAACAATCTCTTGTCATTAAGGAACTCACTGCCAGATGAAGAGACAGGAGGAAAAAAGAAACACAACACATGATTGGAGCCTCATAAATTCTATGATATAAGACTGCATATAGGCTAGACTGCCAACCCAGATTAGCAGGGAATAAAGGCAGGATCAAAGAAAGGCTCTCAGAGGAAATGGGCTACAAAACAAAATGAGTCTTCATATCAAAAAATGAAAGCCAAGTCTGGGCAACATAGTGAGACCCCATCTCTACAAAACTAAAAAATTAGTTGGATATGGTGGTGTGAGCCTGTAGGCCCAGCTACTCAGGAGGTTGAGGTAGAAGGATCACTTGAGCCCAGGAGTTCAAGGCTTTAGTGAGCCATGATTGTGCTAGTGTACCCCAGCCTGGGCAATAGAGTGAGACCCTGTCTCAAGAAATAAAAATAAAAATAAAGTCAACAAGAAGGAATGGTATTCTATGCTGAGTATAGCAGACACTGTTAGTTGCCTACACCGGAGCCATTCTCCACAATTTCAAAGCTAATATGACCTTGATTTTGTGTGGTGTAGCAATATATCCAGCCCCAATGGATAAATTCTGAGGGATCCTAATCTATTTCCCTTTCTCAGCCTTTCTTCTAAGGCCAACATATTCTACCTAAGGACTTTTTCCCCCGCCATGCAAAATGACACAGAATCATGAAGAGAAAGCCTATGTTTATGATCATTCTTTTCAGACTAGTATACTGGCCTGTTGACTTAATTCCTAAAACTGCCAGAGTCATTCTGTGATCTTCAGAGTAAGGCTAGAAAATGGCAGAAATGTCAATCTAATCTCCTTGATCAAAAACTACACTGAGTTTCTAAGCCAAAATTTGAACCATCTATCACCAAATCTGTTATGTAAGAGAATAAGATGCCTTATGTTGATGTTGTTTAAGCCACCATCAGCCACTTTTCTGGGAAATGTAGCCAAAACATTCCTAATGTATTCACCATGGGAGAAACACATGCGAAAACTGAGAGGCAATGAAGAGCAAGGCATTTAGAGGAACCACAAGTAGTTCTTCAATATTTTAATTTAGAATATAAGGTGGGAAATAACATAATAAGTCTGGAACAGAAAACACTAACTTTATGGTGCATAGCTTTGAAAGATAGATTAAGCATCTTCAGTTTTTTTTCCTAACTAAGGAGGAGAATTAGGACAAATTTTAAAGATAGGCATAAGATAAGACTGAATAAGTACACATAAGTCAGATCATAGGAAGTTTTGTCTAACATGCTAGGAAGCCTGAATTTTATCCTATAATAAATAGGGAGACTCTTAAGCAAGTGAGTAAAATAGTTGTGTTCTAGGAAGGCCCATTTTACAACTGTGACTTGCATAAATGGAGGCAGAAAAGCCATAGCTTAATGCACTGATATAAGCAGGAAATTATAATGTCCTGAACTAAGGTAACACCAGTAAAAATGAAAAGGAAACCACATGTTCAAGAGTTATTTTTGAGTATTGAATGTATTGCTCCCAGTTACCAATTTGGTTGGGAATTCTAAGGAGGAGTTAAAGAAAATCGTTCTTTGTGCCACAAAATAAAGCTCTGATTCTCCTTGAGCACTGGCTCCTGGCAAGGACAGAGTCCCAGAGAGAAGCATCACTTTTCTAAAACCTTTGTTGACTTCCTGTATTTATTTTAATTGATCTTCTATATTTTACAGGCATTTTATAAACCAATGTTTGGGATATTTTCCCTACTACTTAGAAACACATGAATCAATACACAACTCATGACAAGCTGATGAAAATGTGCGAAATTCTTAGGGTAAGAGGGGAAAAAAAATAAACAAATGGAATGAGTCATATATACTCTTTATTTCCTACCCTGTATATTTAAGAGGGGTGGCTTGAATCAATTAAAAGTTCCTTTCAAGCTCTGAAATTCTGTATTTTTTTAATTTTAATTTTTATTTATTATTTATTTTTATTTTTTGAGACTGAGTCTCATTCTGTCGCCCAGGCTGGAGTGCAGTGGCGCAATCTCAGCTCACTGCAACCTCCGCCTCTCAGGTTCAAGCAATTCTCCTGCCTCAGCCTCCCAAGCTGGAACTACAGGGGCCCGCCACCACACCCGGCAAATTTTTGTATTTTTAGTAGAGATGGGGTTTCTCCATGTTGGCCGGGCTGATCTACTACTATGATATGGGATAGAATTGGAGTTTATTAAACCTTGTTAATTGCCTGGTTAGGTGATCTGCCCACCTCGACCTCCCAAAGTGCTGGGATTACAGGCATGAGCCACTGTGCCCAGCCTAATTTTTATTTTTAATTGACAAATAATAATGATACATATCTGTAAGGCACAATGTGATATTTCAGTGCATATGTACATGGTGGAAAGAACAAATCAGGCTGATTAACATATCCATTACCTCACAAATTTACCATTTCTTTGTGGTAAAAACATTTAAAATCTAATCTTTTAGCAATTTGGAAATATACAATACATTATTATTAACTATAATCACCATGCTGTGCAATAGATCACCAGATCTTAGTCTTCTTGTCTAACAGAAACTTTGTACCCTTTGACCTACCTTTCTGCCCCAGTCCTATAGCTTAATATAAAAGATAGAGAGTGACAGTTATGGTAAGGAAAGATGGGAACTCAGAATGGATTTGGCCATGGAAGATAAACTAAAAGCAAGTGTAACATGAATGAACAAAAAAGCATGACTCAAATCTGTGCAGGCCTTTTAATATGTTTCTGGCCCTTGTCAAAACAGTAACTCTTGTTACAATTTCTACCACAAAATTTGGGATCAAGAAATTTTGAGTTCTTAGAAGTTACTTAAAATCAATACGTAGAGAAATATGACCTGCAAGAAAGATCTCTGTTCTATCATCCTGCAGAAGAGACAATGTGAAGTAGGTTTAATGGAATTTCTCAGAGTCTGGGGGAAAAAATCTGGTTTCCAGGCCTGGATTAATCATTAACTAGCTATCTATGTGACATTGGCAACGACAGTGATGAAAAAGCCATGTAGCAAATATAAGGGGAACGAGGCAAAGACAGTGAAAAAAGAGAATCACATAACCTCTCCACTTCTCATCTAAGCCAAGAAGAAGGCTCACAATGATAATATTGACTGACAGTTCAAGGGCAGTTCCATTATATGCATCAAAAATAGCCATTTAAAATGTTCAATGCGTCAGTGGATTGTCAGTAATTGTTGCTTATTTCTGCAAACCTGATTATATTTTGGTGATCCTTATATAAAAAACCATGTAGTATGGAGATTGAATTTTATTTCAATTCTTATTAAGAAAAATTAGAGGCCAAGGCAGGTGGATCACTTGAGGTCAGGAGTTTGAGACCAGCCTTTCCAAAATGGCAAAACCCTGTTTCTACTAAAAATACAAAAAGTAGTCAGGTGTGGTGGTGCACACTTATAGTCCCAGCTACTCAGGAGGCTGAGGTAGGAAAATCACTTGAACGTGGGAGGTGGAGGTTGCAGTGAGCTGAGATTGTGCCACTGCCTCTAGCCTAGGCGATAGAGCAAGACTCTGTCAAAAAAAAAAAAAAAAAAAGGAAAGGAAAGAAAAAATATTGGGCAATTAACAAGGTTTAATAAACTACAACTCTATCCCATATCATAGTAGCAAAGCACATGTTTTAAAATTTTAAAAGGCATATGGATTGGAAAGCACTATAGTGTTATGTGTAAGGGCTCACAAGTAACTAAAAATTCAGATTCATTCCTCAAAGAAATACAGATTATCTGTCCAGTTAAGTATAGTGATGAGAAAAATGAGAGCTAGTTAATAATTAGAGCTATAAGATAAGGCTGAAGAAGTATGAAGTCAGATCATAGAAAGTTTTGTCTAACATTTGTTCATCTTTGAGCGCTTAGTATTGCCAGGTTCTATGATAAGTGTGATAAGTATTTTGCATGCATTATCCTTTTTTTTTTTTTTTTTTGAGACAGAGTCTCGCTTTGTCACCCAGGCTGGAGTGCGGTGGCAGGAGCATGGCTCACTGCAGCCTCAACCTCCCGGGCTCAAGCGATCTTTCCTCCTCAGCCCCTGTTGAGTAGCTGGGACTACAGGTGCCCACTACCACACCCAGCTATTTTGTTAGTATTTATAGAGAAAGAGTTTGGCTATGTTGCCCAGGCTGGTCTTGAACTGTTGGCCTCTATTAATCCTCCCATCTTGGTCTCCCAGAGTGCTAGAATTACAGGCTTGAGCCATCACACCCGGCCAGTCCCTTTTAAAAAAATAACCATAATATCCTATGACTTCTCTTAACTTCCAAGTACAATTCTCAGTGAACTTGAAATTCTATTCATGCCCATGTTATTTATAATTCACATGATTTATTTCTCATCCAGTGTCTTTTGCTCAGAAAGGCAAAATGCATAGGAAGTTAGCCTGTGCCCATCGTAGTATCAAAAGGCACTGGCTTCTGGCCAAGTGTCAGATCATGCCACTGCACTCCAGCCTGGGTGACAAAGCAAGACCCTGTCTCTTAACAAAAACAAAAAACCCCAGGGAGTCAAACCTACTGAAAAGGCAAAAATTACCTTCGGATGTCTCAGGAGAAAGTTGGCAGCCTCCTCAAAATATTCCAAATCTGTTACTTCTGGTTTGGCGGGCAGGTCTTCATAGTTAAAGTAAGCCAAGGCCAAGGAGGCAAAGCCACGACTAGCTAGGAGGCTGGCCCGAAATTCAAGCAGCCCACCCAAACCACCAAACAAATCAATCACCCCTGGGAAGCGACCCTCTCCTGAAAAATAACAAAACAGAATTGTACATGAAAAGAAGGTGTGGAAAAGATAAGAAAAACTTGAAAATACAAAGCAGAAATGCAAATTATAGGATAATAAAAGAAAAGATAAAATAAAGATAATAAAAGCATGAGAAGACAAAGCAGAAATGCAAAATTACATTCAAATATAATTTTGAAATTAACATTTAAATTTTCAAATACGATTCCAACAGTTTTAGCCTTCTCCCTGGGGCAGAATTAAGGCCCATTGACTATACAATGGAATACAATATCTAGATGTTTGACTAGGAACTACATTCACTGACATATTTACTGTCTGCAGCCCAGGAAATGGGAATTCATGGTAGTTTCTATACTCTTGTTGTAAAGAAAGGCATAGAAATTAGGCTGGAGCTTCTTAACCTGTAAAGAAGTATACAGATAAGTTTTAGGAAATCCATGGAGATCCTGAAATTACAATATATGCAAAATATGGTGTGTGTGTGTGTGTATATATATATATACACACACATATATATACGTACTTATAGATGAATTTTACTTACGAGAGGTTCCACAGATTTAATTTGGTTCTCAAAGAAATCTATGGCTCAAAAAAATTTTTTGCAATGATTGTATTAGCTACAATCCTGACTTAACACTGCTCTGCTACACTCATTTGACTATACAGTGATGAAATCTTACACCTAAGCATATGTCAATGATGAGCCCTTTTATTCAATAACACCATGTTTATTTTCTGCAGGCTGACACATGGTAAAAAGTAGGGACGGTCAGAGTATCATCCTACACTCACTCCGTATAGGCAGCTTTCTTCCAAAATAAAGCAGAGCCTACACACTGAAAGAAACTTACGATGCACTTATTGGGGATATTCTGTTCTTTTATAAGTGATTTTAACTAAGACAGACTGATCCCATGCATGTTTGAAAGGAGTGGCTTGATTTAAAGGAGTATTGGGAATTTTTTAAATTACTATAATTAATTACAATGAATAAAGAAGAAATAAAGTGATGTTGAATATATCTTAGTTTTAAATTATCATTTGCATAAATGAATAAAGATGTTTTTACCATCTGATTGACAAGAATGGGGAAACACTTAAAAGTACTGAGTCTTTTATCTTGGAAGAATGTTACAGTCAAGAAATATTTGTGATCCGACTCAACCTCCTTATAACCTCACACAACTCAGCTCTCTTTTGTTTCCCCTGTAGAAAACACACGTGAAGCAGGAGACCCAGCATATGCAATGTTCAAGAGGATTCCCAAACAGCACACCTTAAACCAGCACATCATCCCAAGATGGAAGGCCTGTACCAATAAACAGATTTTTAACTGGGGTGGGATAATAGAGGTACAGCAATTTGTGCCATTTAATTCTTGATCACTACCCATAATAAAGTGGTCTACATGCTATTTACTGGGTATTTTAAAAATTCAGATTTATCTGAGCAAGTGCATGGGTTATGGTGAATTTGGAAAGGAAAGCTTTTATTGCTTCTTTTCTTCTGAGAAATTAACTTTGCTTTATCTGGCCCCACAATAAACTCTGAGAAATGTACCAAAAGATGTTTAAACCACTTAGTTATCGGTATTTGGAGATTTCTGTGGGAAACTATGAGTATTCTGATAAGTTTTATAGCCATTAGGAAGCATGCTATATTATTAGATTCATGGAGTAATCTATAAATATGTAATATTTATGAAGCTACAGGGTACAAAATTTCTTGCATCCTCTATATTTGCTGCAATCTTTCAGTCCATCTTATCTCCAGCTTGTTGTGGCAACAAGGTAATAACCAATGCCTAAACTGAAACTCAACCTAACAGAGCCTGCACAAGGATCTGGGATATGGTTTCCATCACATCAAGATGAGGGTCTTCATATAGCCAGACTTCAATCCAGAAAAATTTAGCAAATCCAAAGCTATGTAAAGTCCATAATGTAGGGACTCCATAAACTATATGTAGTCACATTCTTAGACAAGCTTCAGAATTGTTGAGAAGAAACTTGAGCTGGAGTGGAATATTACCACATTCTTGTTCTGACCCAAGGTTAACATTGATTGTAAGGCAGGAAGCGGTGCTCTAGGTATTATCCATATTCAAGTTAAATTTCTAGAGAGATAATGCATTTAAAGTGGAAAAACAAGAATAACAATAACCAGAGTAATTCTACTCACCTGGAGGGAGAAAGAGAGCTCCTCGAAGGCGGCCTTCTCGAACCTGAATTCGTGTGACACCAGGTGCCACATACCACCTCTCCAAAGTAAGGCTGGCCTTTGGAGCACTGGCAGCTTTATTGTTCACTATTAACTCTAAGTCATAAAGTTTTAATTGGACCTGGAAAGGTTTATTCATCACATCTTTTTTCAACAGTCTTGTTAATAGCTTTTCAGGTTTCAGAGACCAGAAGAGACCCATGGGGTGGACTCCCTTATAATCCCCTCCAAGTGAAGAAGCATGCTTCAGGTCCACCTCACCAAATTCATTGGCCCTATAGTGGGCTTGAGAATAAAACATGTTTCCACTTTCATCTTCCAGTGATGCCTGAAAACTCACCATCTGAAAGGGAATCAGGCCTGTAGCTTGGATATGCACTGGCTCATCAACAAGTGCACTCACAGGGGTAGCTGTCAACTGGATCATTTTTTTAGTGTGGCACCTGGAATGATTCTTCAGGAATATCTTCAGCAAAACCTCAAAAAATAAAGAAAGAGGAGCAGTAAAATAAAGTAGAGATAAAGGTTGATGAAAGATGAATTGAATCAGCATTCAGGCCACTTAGGAGTCAGTTCTAACCCTCTAGTTCTTTAGAAATTTCCTGATATAATCTTCTAGTACAAGACACCTGAGAGCTTTCAACGAATTTCTAGAAGACAGTAAGCAAGCTGACAAATTTTGTAACAATAATGAACCAGCGTTAAAGAAGCAGCAGCCAAAATATGCATGAATGGTATCAATATATCTAGGAAGATAACACAACCTGTCAAACAGAACCTTTAAAAAAATCAAGTACAACAGAGAATAAAAATGAGATTTGGATTTGAAAACATGGTTATTTATTGAACGTCTATATATATGAGACACTTGACTTCACGCTAATCCCTTCCCCAAGTCCTGGAAACAGAATGCTTTGCATCCAAGAGTTTACCTGCAACAGAACATAAAAAAATAGAGGGATCATGGAAGAGGAATACTATACAGCCATGAAAAAATGAAACCATATCCTTTGCAGCAACATGGATGCAGCTAAAGGCCATTTCCTAAGTGAACTAATGCAGAAACAGATAACCAAATACTTCATGTTCTCACTTATAAGTGGGAGCTAAACATTGGGTACACATGGACAATGGGAACAGTAGACACTGGGGACTGCAAGAGGATGGAGAGAGGGATGGTGGCAAGGGCTGAAAAACTACCTATTGGGTACTTTACTTAATACCAGAGTGACAGGTTCAGTCATACCCCAAACCTCAGCATCATCACACAATATACCTATGTAACAATCCTGCACATATACCCCCTGATTCTAAAATAAAAGTTAAAAAAAAAAACCAACCCAGAAGGATCTTCTCAAAAGAATGAGAATAAAATCTTTGGAAAGAACAAAAGGGGTGGTGTGTGTATTGCTCCCTAGAGAAAAAACATCCATAGCTTTGTACTTAGGATTTGCCCAAAGGAAAGCAAAACTAGAAGCTGACAAGCCCTTCAGGTACATAAAAGTCTTGCTGAGCTTTTTGTAACCTTTTAAAAATTAAGAAAAGCCCATCTCCTTTCGATTAGTGTGAAGAAAGCCACAAGAGTTACCACTGTTCTCACTCTAGCAAACAAAACTATCTGCATAAGCTACAAAATTAGTTTTGGGTTTGTTAGGTGATTTTTTTTTTTTTTTGGCCTTTATTTTTGTTTTGTTTGTAACTCATTAGATTACTGAGAATGCAAAGAATCTGCATGAACTGAACTCCAGCAAATGACAAGCTGCTCCATAGGAAACAGGAAATTTTCTCTCCTACATGCTGATTTTCAATTATGATAAAGCAGCAAAAAATAAACCCAACAGAAAAAAAATAAGGAGAAATCAACAGAAAATATGATGCACTTTTAACGGATATGTGTGGATTGGTTTGATAAACTAGAATTCCAAGAAACTGTAGCTACAGAGTAAGTCTTTCTCTATCTGCCAACTTTCTGTAGAGCTTCACCATGTGCCCAGACGGAGATCAGGGGTGCAAGCTGAGAGAAATCTGAGGCATTGCAGGCCTTCATGTAAAATAAGGCAGCTGCCTTTCAATGAATGGGGTCAGAGGAGCAGAGTAGAGAGAGATATCCCCAGACTCAGAGATCCAGGAGCAGGATTGCAAAGCAAAGCAAGCTCCCTAGTGACCCTTATTACAGAAAGATTGTGAATCAGAATCTTTCACAGTTTGAAAGGCTAGCAACACGGCCATAATACACAAAAATCTCTCCAGATATTCAGCAGTGCTGAGTCCCAAGACCATTCTGATGAGAAAGGCATATTTCCATACACTCAAAAATATCTGAAGCCAGTTTTGCACTGAATCAAATAAACTTGCAACAAAGCCAAAACCCAGCTCAACTGCACATCAGAATGATTCAGCCCCTAATTCTAACATTCTGACAGAGTAAATGTATGCTCTTTGCTGGAAGTAAACATTATTTATTTCAATCATTATTTTTATACATAATATTCAGGATACTTTTTTATTTTTTTGAGATGGAGTCTTGCTCTGTGGCCCAGACTGGAGTGCAGTGGCGCAATCTCGGCTCACTGGAAGCTCCGCCTCCCGAGTTCACACCATTTTCCTGCCTCCGCCTTTTGAGTAGCTGGGACTACAGGCGCCCGCCACCACGCCCAGCTAATTTTTTGTATTTTTAGTGGAGACGGGGTTTCACTGTGTTAGCCAGGATGGTCTCAATCTCCTGACCTCGTGATCCAACCGCCTCGGCCTCCCAAAGTGCTGGGATTACAGGCGTGAGCCACCGCGCCCGGCCGATACATTTTTATTCCCACATAATACTTATACCTATTTATGAGGTACATGTGATATTTTGTTACATGCATAGAATGTGTAATGATCAAGTCAGGGTCTTTAGGGAATTTATTACCTTGAGTATTTATCATTTCTATGTGTTGGGAACATTTACAGATCTCCTTTCTACCTGTTTTAAAATATACAATACATTGTGTTAAGTGCAGTCATTCTACTCTGCCTAGCAAACATTTACCCTCAAGTAGACCCCAGTGTCTATTGCTCCCTTCTTTGTGTTCATGAGTTTTCATTATTCAACTCCCACTTGTAAGTGAAAACATGTGGTATTTGGTTTTCTGTTCTTGTGTTAGTTTGCTAAGTATTATAGCCCCCAGCTTCATCCATGTTCCCACAAAAGACATGATCTCATTCTTTTTTATGGCTGCGTAGTATTCCATGGTATATCTGTGCCACATTTTCTTTATCTGGCTGTCATTAATAGCCATTAGGTAGATTCCATGTCTTTGAAATTGTGAAAAGCTTTTGTGAATAGTACTGCAATGAACATTCACATGCATGTGTCTTCATGGTAGAATGATTTATTTACATTCCTTCCGATAGATACCCAGTAATGGGATTGCTGGGTCGAATGATAGTTCTGCTTTTAGCTCTTGAGGAGTCATTATAATGCTTTCCACAATGGTTGAACTAATTTACAATCCCATCAACAGTGTATAAGTGTTTCCTTTTGCCCACCACATTGCCAGCATCTATTATTTTTTTACTTTTAATGATAGCCATTCTGATTGGTATGAGATGGTATTTCATTGTGGAAACCAGTAACATTTTATTTGTTAAAAGTTAACAGCTTCAGAATAGATCTAAATGCAACTTTTCCAAAAAATAGCAAAAAGTACCGTGTAAAGCATCTCCTCATTAAATGCAAACTTTCATTTTGTGATGCACTGCAACAAAGTTTTGCATATACCTTGATGCAAAGAAAATTTTAAGTTGCATCCTGTTTAAAAAAACACAAACAAAACTTTTACGAACTGAACAAGGATGACTACAACCATGAAAAAAATTTCAGAGAAAGAAAATTTTCCTCCAAGAAAGCATATTGCTTTGTTTATATACAACATGTACACAAGTCTTAATTGTACCAAAGGCAATATTTTATACTTAAATTACAGATCCATGAAGGGAAATAGTTTAATATACCAAAGATAATTTGTTATTTGATGCCCTTAATTTCAATATTTGGGGATATTTTTAAGGTTTTCTCAAAAAATGGCATTAATAGTAGCTCTGTACAATTATATTTAAGGGAATAGGAAAATGAAAACACCCTTATATCATATTTCACAAACTGTTCCAAAGACAGCAAATTCTTGCTCAGCTGCTTTTCCTTGCTGTAAAATAAGCTACCAGTAATTCTAAACCAGTCTAGAATGCATTGTTTCTGGACTAAATATAAGCAAGCATACTTACAAAAATGCTTTGCGATGAGTACTTGGCCTATTTGTCCCCGTAGCCATAAAAAATAATGTGATCATGTCTTTTGAAGGAACAGGGATGAGTATCAAATAGCTAAGGAAAGACTAGAATTTATTTTTAAATTCTGTGACTGACTTCCAAAAATCCCTTATCACTAGAAGTACTGGCAAAATATCAGATATTAAGGATCAGACTTAATTCTTTGATATAAGCATGAAATTGTTACTGATAGCTTTACAGGGCTAGCATAAACCATTAAGTATCCCAAGAAGCATGAGCGACAACAATGAAGTCTAGTATACAATGCAAGGCAGGCTGAATGATAACGATGTTTTATTTTACAGGAAAAGTCAATATTAATAATATACTTTAGAGAAACTATCACCTACTCGGATGTTTTTAACATTATAGCAACTAAAATGTCAAGCTTCAAAATGACCAAACTTGTAACTTATAGCTGGAACATTTTGCTGAATTTGTCATTATACTATAATTTATAGTGTACAACATCTGAGGACTCAGCACTATCTTGGCAAACAGACTTACTCCTCCCACCCATCAGAGGTCTGGGGGGTGGGGGTGGAGCCCTTTTTTCCCCATCATTACTGAACTTTATACCATACAAGAAATCAGTGAAAGGTAAACAACAAGGTACAATGTAATTCTATTATATATTTTGCATCTTATTTGTGACATATACAAGTATATTTTTGGTTTTGGAGCTATAAATTAATTTAGCAAGCTTCAAAGTTCATAAATTTTAACTTTTCAAATGAGAAGTAACTTTTCAAATAAAGTTTAGGACTTTATGGCTATTAATTTTACTATCAAAATGTCCAAGGGACTCAATTCATTTAATAATTATAATTCTTCCAAATACCATTTGAAGAATTATTTGTGGACACTAGACTCAAGTACACTAAATCCAAACAGTACACGTATGACCTAAGTTTTGAAGTTTTTCATCTCAGTTACCCATCTTTCAACTTGCTACTTCCTCTCATGCTTTCATTTACTAAATACAAACTGTCAGATTTTTAAACTGAATCCTCTCCTCCAAGGCCCTATCAGATAACTTTGTAAATACGCATTTTCAGCCTTCAAGCACCAACATTTTAATCTGAGACTAATGCCTAGAGCCACATTTCTTGTTACAAGTTCAACACTAAAAATTCATAATTCTGGAGCATTAGCCTAAAATGTACCTGA